CTCTCTCTTTTTTTTTTTTATCCTCACCCGAGGACATTTTTTCATTTTTTGTTCAGACAGAGCAGGAGGGAGAGAGAGAAACATCGATGTGAAAGGGACACATCGAATGGCTGTCACCCGCATGACCCAACCAGGGCTGGGGACAAACTGCCACTGAGGTACGCGCCCTTAGCGGGGACCGAATTCGGGCCTCTGGACCGCAGGCCAATGCTCTAACCGCTGAGCCAAACCGGCCAGGGTAAATATATCTTTTTATTATGTCTACTCAACTGTCCCTGACATATAAGCTCTTTGGGGGCAGGTTCTTTGTTTTGTCCACTGAAGTTCCCAAGTTCACAGCGCCAGGTTAATAGTAGCCACTTGACAAGTATTTGTTGAATAGATTCCAAAGGATTAAATAATCACGTGAAAATGATGAAGTTATTAGATCTCTAGAAAAATGTAAAGGTGAATATCAAGTATTTATCCAAGTCAGTGTGGAAAGAACTTGTTAAGCATTTTTTTAAAAAAGGAAGCAAAACCTAAACTGGAAAAGACCATTAGATTTAACTATATAAACACATATACCTATTTCCCGAACTCCTCACCCAAACAAATATTTCTATCATCTGTGGAATGCTAGGGCTAATCCAAAATTTTTTTTTTTATCAGTAAGAAAAACTGAACAAATCAATAGAAAAATGGATAAGGCAGTAGTTCTTGAAGTGTGTTATGGTGACTCCAGGGGTTCCCAAGACCATTTCAGGGGGCCTGTGATTATTTTCACAATATTAGTAAGATGTTGCTTGCCTTGTACTGATGATGCAACAGCAATGATAGTTATAGCATTCGCCCTTGGACTGAAGGGTCAAAGTTTTGATTCTGGGCAAAAGCATGTACTTGGGTTGTGGGTTCGATTCCTGACCATGGTTGGGGTCATATGGTAGGCAACAAGTCGATGTGTCTCTCTCACATCAATGTTTCTCTCTTTCTCTCTCTTTCCCTCCCTCCCTTCCACTCTGTCTAAACATCAGTGGACAAATATCCTCAGGTGAGGATTAACAACAAAAAAAAGTGACACCATGCACCCCTATGTTCATTGCAGCACTGTTTACAATAGCCAAGATCTGGAAGCACCCCAAGTGTCCATTAGTAGGTGAGTGTATCAAAAAGCTGAGGTACATTTACACAATGGAGTACTACTTGGTTGTAAAAAGAAGGAAATCTCGCCTGACTAGTGTGGCTCAGTGGATTGAGCATCGTCCCATGGACTGATGGGTCCTAGTTCAATTCCCGGTCCAGGGCACATCCCCGGGTTGTGGGCTCCATCCCCGATGGAGGGTGTGCAGGAGGAAGCTGGTTGATGTATCTCTCTCTTATCGATGTTTCTATCTCTCTCTAAAAAAAATAATAATAAAAACATATTTAAAAAAATAAGGAAATCTTACCTTTTGTGACAGCATGGATGGACTTAGAGAGTATTATGCTCATGAAATAAGCCAGTTAGAGAAAGATAAGTACCACATGATTTCATTCATATATGGAATCTAGTGAACAAAATAAACTAACGGACAAAATAGAAATAGACTCATAGATACAGAGAACAGACTGGCAGCTGTCAGAGGGGAGGGAGTTGGGGGTCTGGGTGAAAAAGGTGAAGGGATTAAGGCAAAAAAGCAAAAAAAGAAAAAGAAAAAAGACTCATAGACACAGACAACAGTATGGTAATTACCAGAGGGAAAAGGGTTTGGGAGGAGGTAGAAGAGGGTACAGAGGAGATAAATGGTGATAGAAGGAGATTTGACTTGGGGTGGGGAACACACAATACAATACACAGATGATGTATTATAGAACTGTACACCTGAAATTTATATAATTTTATTAACCAATGTCACCTCAGTAAAGTTTTAAAAAATAGTGACACCAATCTGTACTAGTAATCATGTTCTTTACTACCATGCCACTTTCACTTAAGAAAGTCCTTGATGAAGCAGTAAAAAATTATTTAGTTTATTAAATCTTGGCCTTTGGGAGGGAAGAGATAAACCACAGAACTTATATGCATGTATGCATAACCAATGGACATGGACAACAAAGCCGGGGACGGGATGGGGGGGATAGGGAGGAGGGTGTCAGTGGGGTAAAAAAGGAGAAATATCTGTAACAAAAATAAAATTAAAAATAAAATAAATAAATAAAATAAATCTTGGCCCTTAAGTTCTTATTTATTTATTTATTTATTTATTTATTTATTTATTATTAATACTCATCTGAGGATATTTTTCTATTGATTTTTTAGAGTGAAAGGGAGGGAGAAAGAGAGAGAGAGAGAAACATCGATGTGAGAGAGACACATCAATTGGTTGCCTCCTGCATGACCCCCCACCAGAGCTGGGGATCAAACCTGCAACTGAGGTATGTGCCCCTAACTGGGAATCAAACCTGTAACCCTTTGGTCCATGGGCCGATGCTCTAACCGCTGAGCCAAACTGGCCAGGATGAGTTCACTTTTTTTTTTTTTTTTTTTAATGGATTGTAATTTTTAGATTTACAGGAGAAGTGAGCAGAATGTACAGAGAGTTTCATTATTTTCCCTGTTCCCACACATCATTGTCTCCTTTACTATCAATGTCCCTCACTAGAGCAGTGCATTTGTTACAGCTGATGAACTTACATCAATACATCCCAATCACCCCAAGTCCATATTTTATATTCAGACTCACTCTTGGTATTATGGATTCTATGGGTTTTGACAAATGTATATTGACATGTATCCACCATTATAATATTACACAGAGTAGTTTGACTGCCCTAAAAATTCTGTGTACTACCTATTCATCCCAGCCTCCCCCCGACCCCTGGTAACCACTGATCTTTTCACTGTCTCTATAGTTTTGCCTTTTCCAGAATGTCATATATTTAGAATTATACAACTTGTAGGCTTTTTAGATTGGCTGCTTTCACTTAGTAATATGCATTTAAGGTTCTGCCACATCTTTTCATGGCTTGACAGCTCATTTTGTTTGGTGCTGAATAATATTCCACTGTCTGGTGGTACCACAGTTTACTATCCATTTACCTAATGAAGGACATCTTTGTTGCATCCAAGTTTTGGCAATTATGAATAAAGCTTCTATAAACATCTGTGTGCAGGTTTTTGTGTGGAAATGTTTTCAAGTCATTTGGGTAAATACCAAGGAACACAATTGCTGGATTGTATGATAAGACTGTGTTTAGTTTTTTTGTTTTGTTTTGTTTTTTAATTTTCTTTTTCCTTAATTGATTTTAGAGAGAGAGGAAGTGAGAGGGAGAGAGAGACAGAAACATTGATGAGAGAGAACATCGATTGGCTGCCTCCTGCATGCCCCCTCCTGGGCATATGTCCTGACTGGGAATTGAACCAGCAACCTCTTAGTGAATGGGTCAATGCTCAACCACTGAGCCACACCAGCCAGACCTGTGTTTAGTTTTGTAAGAAACTGTTAGGCTGTCTTCCAAAGTGACTGTACCACTTTGCATTCCCACCAGCAATGAATGAAAGTTCCTATTGCCCTGTGTCCTCACCAGCATTTGGTGTTGTCAGTGTTTTAGATTCTTGCCATATTAATAGGTGTGTAGAGGTATCTAATTGTTAGTTTAATTTGCTATTCCTTAATGACATATGATATTGAATATCTTCTCAGATGCTATGTGCCATCGGCATATCTTCTTTGGTGAGGCATCTATACAGATCTTTTGCCCATTTTTTAATTGTTCTTTCCTTATTTAGGAGTTTCAAGAGTTCTTTGTATATTTTGTTTGTTGTTTTTTTTTTTTTATCCTCACCCGAGGATATTTTTCCATTTTTTGTACAGATAGAGTGGGAGGGAGAGAGAGGAAGGGAGAGAGAGAGAAACATCGACGTGAAGGGACACATCGAGTGGCTGCCACCCGCACGACCAACCAGGGCCGGGGACAAACTGCAACCGAGGTACGTGCCCTTAGCGGGAACCGAACCCGGGTCTCTCCGGACCGCAGGCCGACGCTCTAACCGCTGAGCCAAACTGGCCAGGGCAGTTCTTTGTATATTTTGGATAACAGTCCTTAATCAGATATATCTCTTGCAAATATTTTCTCCCACTCTGTGGCTTGTCTTATTCTCTTGAGCTTCTTTCATTTTTAATTTTATAACTTTTATAGTTAAAATTTTTTTCAATGACTGTAATAACTTTTAAAGATAGATTTATTTCACATACCAAATGATTCACCCACTCAAAGTGGGAAATTCCATAGTTTTAAGTATGTCCACATGGTTGTACAACCATCACAATCTAGTTTTAGGCCTTTTTATCACTCCTAAAAGAAACCTCTACTCATTAGCAGTCATACCTCATTCCCTACCACCACCATTCCCAGCCAGATTTACCTATTCGGACATTTCATACAAATTGAATCATATAATATGTAGCCTTTTTTTTAAACTGGTTTATTTCACTAACATTGTTTCCAATCTATGTTGTAACATGAATTAGTGTTTTATTCCTTTGATGAATAACATACGGCTACATCATATTTTATTCATCTATTCATCAATTGATGGACACTTGGGTTGTTTTCAACTTTTTGGTTAGTATGAATGATGCTACTATGAACATTCATGTGCAAATTTTTGTGTGGACCTATGTTTTCATTTATCTTGGGAATAGACCTAGGAGTGAAATTGCTGGGTTAGATGATAACTGCGTATTTAACATTTCAAGGAACGGCCAAACTGTTTTCCAAAGCAGCTGCACCATTTTACAACAATGTATATAACTTTTGAAATTAAGCAGATCCTGTTTTTAAAGAATTGTAGTGCTGTTCGGGTAGAACATAGTAGGTATTCAGTAACTGGTATGGAAGAATGAACGCATGTTTTGAATAAGATGAGGAAAGAGACTGAACATGGAAAGTATAGTAGAGGATGGGTGAGCCCTGGCAGTAACTTTCACTCCAGCACCAGCTGGCCAGGCCTCTCTGAGCCCCCTGTGATTCCCAAACAGGATCAACCAACCCCTTCTGAGCTTGAGATTGACCTGGAGGCTCTCATGGAACTATCCACAGAGGAGCAGAAAACGCAGCTGGAGGTAGAATGGAGGGGGGGAGGGGTTGAGCCCTAGGCCCAGGCGTTGGGGTTGGAAGCTGGGCTTGGATTAAGGGAAACCCAGGAACCCAGGCTTTGCCTCCTTGGGTGAAATGGGGAGAACCACATCAGAGGGAATAATTCCTGGAATGAGTGGGGCTTGTGGGAAAGTACTGTGGCTCAGGGACTCACTGTTTGCTCTTTTCTACCCAGACTCTTCTCCAAGACTGTCCCCACCCCACAGAGGTAAGGATGCCTTGCTGTTCTGGGGGTAAGAGGAGGCCCACTGGGGAGGCAGCTAATGAAAGGAAAGCTTAGTACTGCATCTTTTCCCCCTTCCCTGGCTCTAGGGAGATGGGGTCAGGGAGAGATCAGGGGACAGTATGGTGGATGGGTGTGACTCCATGCCTTAATCTTACCCATTCTTCCTCAGCCTTTTATCTCTGAACTACTCAGTCAACTCAAGAAACTCCGGAGACTCAGTCGGCCTCAGAAATAAGACTTGTGAGACTACGCTCAGCAACCTCAGCACTGTCAGGCCTGCCCTGAGCCTCTGGATCCTGGGCTGAGAGGGAACTGGCTCCCTGGGACACGGACAAGGAATATTGGAAGGAGGGACATTTCAACACCTCTATTGTATGTGCAGTCACAGCTAGTTCTTGTCAGCTGGGCTTTCTGGGAGCCAGTCATGGCTATTGCCTGGTGCTTTCCTTGGCAGCCAAGTGGATAAAACCTGTAGGAGTCCCAGCTGAATGGAGTGCGGAGCATATCTGTGCTGAGGGTTGGGGTGGGGTGAAGTGATATACCAGAAGGTTAGCAGCCTAAGTCACTACACTCTATCCACACACCTCATCCATCCATCCATCCATCCATCCATCCATCCCTTCCTTCCTTCTTCCCTCCCTCCCAACAGTCCTTAAGAATTTAAAGATGAAGGTCACAGTTCCGCTTCAGAAATCAGTCAAACAAGGCCCAGAGGCTAAGACACAAAGCATCTTGCCATCAACAACAGAAACCCAGTGGCAAAGACTAGTTTTTAGTTTTTTTTAATCCTCACCCGAGGACATTTTTCCATTTTTTTTTCAGGTAGAGTGGGAGGGAGAGAGAGGAACAGAGAGAGAGAGAGAAACATTGATGTGAAGGGACACATCGAGCGGCTGCCACCTGCACAACCGACCAGGGCCGGGGACAAACTGCAACCAAAGTACGCGCCCTTAGCGGGAACCGAACCCGGGTCTCTCAGGACCACAGGCTGAGCCAAACCGGCCAGGGCGGCAAAGACTAGTTTTAAATCTCGGAGAGGGAACAGGAAAAAGCTAGCTGGGTCAGGGGCATGAGGGAAGGCTAAACCCTGCTCCCCGCTAAATGGTGCAGGAGGCCTCAGGCTGAGGATTCTTTCTTGAGCTGGTTCCAGCCAGAGGAAGAGAAAAAGCAAGGGCTAAGCAGAGAGGTGCAAAGGGTACAGGGTACGAGGCCAGGGGTCAGGTCAGGAGGGAGTTGCCAGAAACAGACACTGAGTCAGAAAGGCAGGCAGGTTGGGACAGGAGCCCTGGAAGGTGGTGTCCTTTGGGAGTAAGGTAGGAAGCAGGGCATACACCCAGTTTATGCGCAGTGTCTGAGTACTAGAGAGACAGAACCCATGATGGCGGGGCCTGGGGCTAAGTTGGGCTGCCCAGAGCAGGACACATAGTTCAGTTCCGTTGAACAAATATTCATGCCTACTGCCTTTGAGGCCTCCAAGATGAGTGGTACTGTTCCTGACTGAAGAATCTTACATGAGGGCTCGATCCTTTCCCTCACTCCATTGGACTGGACTCCTACTCTGCCTTTGCTACCTCTCCAAGGGCCCAGGCTCAGTACCCACAGTGTTCTAGAGGTAAAAGATGCTGGGCCCAAGGAATCAACATACTTTATTTGATACACTAAGTGCTAGGGCCCTTGAGCAGGTTTCAAGGCTCATCCTTAGATTCAATCTTGGTCTTGCCAGTCCAGGCTGTGCTGACGGAGGGCTCCCAACTTCTGTCTTCCTTCTGGCTCTTCCATTCATCATCTTCAAAAGAGAATCTTTCCTTCTTCCAGGGACACCGAGGCTTAGGAAAGGGTACACCCACGAGCAGTCTAGCTTGACATGCTCGCCCATCAGATGCCTGGAGGCTGGGCCCAGAGGTAGGTGCCCCAGCCTATGTGACTGCCTGTAGGGCTGCATTCCCGGGAGGACCAGGTTTTCCTCAGTGCTCTTGGTCTGCATGTGGGGGGCAGTAAGCAGATGTCTGATGCTCTTTAAGTTCAAAGGCATCATGGCCTTCCCTGTGGAACAAAGAGACACAGGTCAGGAATCACAAGTAGCCTTTGGACACTCCCAGTTTCATAGCACATTCTACCTGCACCCACCGGAAGCAGCGGACACAGTAGAGGTCTCCATCACAGCCAGCGCAGCGCAGGGCGGCATCCTCATTGCAGATGCAGCACCAGGGGAGCTCCTTTTCTTCAGCTTCTGGCCTGGGGGCCATAGCCTGGGCCTTCAGGGAGCAGAGAACAATGGGGGAAGCAAGGTACCTCCTGGGGTATGGGTGAGAAGGCTGCTGCTGGAGCAGGGGGCCAGTCAGGAGGGAGGCTGTGGAGGCTGCCCAGGGGTCTGCGTCTGGGGCTTTTCTCACCTTAGGCTCTGCCCTGCAGGATTTGGCCCGGGGCTGGAGCATTGGCTCTGCAGGGATGTTAAAGCCACTTGCCTCATCCAGGGCAGCTTCTTCAGTGAGCTGTGGACAGGGCAAAAAGGTACAGCACCCTGCTTATGGCCCAGGTCCTCTCCTAAAAGCTCTGTGACTTTAGTTTCTCAACCCATATTCCTTTATCTGTTGCCTATGGTTGCTGACACCCCACTCAAGGGGCAGGGGCAGGGGCAGGGGCAGGGGCAGGGGCAGGGGCAGGGGCAGGGGCAGGGGCAGGTCTGGGTCATAGTGACAGAGGGGCCCCAGCTAGAGTAGCTGCAGAGTGACTGGCCATATAGTCCCAGAGTGGAAGTAGGGTGATTGGGGCCAGGTGGGGTGGGACAGTGAGGTAGGAACAGGACAAAGGGTGGTCAGGTGGGTAAGGTGGCTCACCTGTTGCAGGACTCTCTGGATGGCTGTCTCCTCATCCTCCTCATCATCACTGTTTGGAAGGTGATAGTCCTGAAGGGTCACTTGAAGAGGAGAGAGGTAGGAGCAGGGGGGGAGTGAGGTTGAGAGCGCTCACCTGAGTAGCTGTACTCTTGCCCTCAGTAGCTGGTTTGGTTTCTAGTGGCACTTGGTCCAGAGCTCTGCCGTCTCTGCAGCCATTCTGATCAGGCCCACCCCCTCCCTGCTCCACCCTGCAGGGCTGGGGGGAAGGAACAGAAGGCTCTGTGTCTGAAGGGACCGAGGGTCCCTTGCCCCTCGTCTCCCTTATTCCTCATCCACTGCTTTGCTCCAGCACTTTCCTTGTGGCTCTGGGCAGAGCTTGACAGACTCCTGGGCATAGAGACCCCCAGCACCTGACTGAGCCTGGCAGCCATTTTGCAGAGCTTGGTCTGGGGATGGGGGGCTTACCCAATGGACATGAGTAAGTGGCTGCTGCCCAGCCTCTACCTCTGTCAGGGTCCTGTCCCCGAAGCACGGCCAGGCGCTTGGCAAGGGCCAGGATCCGCTCCTGCCTTGTGTTCTCCTCCCGCAGCTCGACTGCTGCTTCAGCCAGCAGCCTGCTCTTCTCTCCATCCAGGGACCAGGTGGTCCGCCCCTTGGAATTAGCACTCTGGCCCCCTGGTCCACCCTGGTTCAGGTCATTCTGGATAGAGGCAGCTGGAAGGAGCGATGCAGTCAGGGAGGCAGAGACATTCCAGATCTCTCACTAGAAGCTACTGAGCCCATTTCTCGACTTTTTATAAAAGCCCACATATCATCAGCTTTTTGTTCAGCACTAGCTCCTGGGGTTTTATTACAAATGAGTATTTCCCCCATTTTTTCCCATGTAAAATCTGGTAATCTCTTTTTTTTTATCCTCACCGAAAGACTCTTTTCCATTTTTGTTCGGTGAGAGAGAGAGAGAGAGAGAGAGAGAGAGAGAGAGAAAGAGAAACATCGATGTTAAAGGGTCACATCAAGTGGCCGCCTCCCGTACGACCTCAACCAGGGCTGGTAACAAACCGCAACCAAGTTACATGCCCCTGGCGGGAACTGAACCCAGGTCTCCCTGAACCACAGGCCAATGCTCTCACCACTGAGCCAAACTGGCCAGGGCTGGTAATCTTTTTATTTTTTATTAATTTAGTTTTGTTACAGATGTTCTCCGTTTTCCCCCATTGACAACCTCTTCTTGACTCCCCGCCATGGCATAGTTGTCTATGTCCACTGGTTACGCACACATGCATATAAGTTCTTTGGTTTATCTCTTCCCTCCCCCCCAGTCCCCCTCTTCTGAAGTTTGTCAGTCTGTACCCTACTTCTATGTCTCTGGGTCTATTTTGTTCATCAGTTTATTTTGTTCATTATATTCCACAAATAAGTGAGATCATGTGATATATGTCATTCTCTGACTGGCTTATTTTGCTTAGCATAATACTCTCCAGGTCCCTCCATGTCATCTCAAAGGATCAGAGATCTTTCTTTCTTCCAGCCACATAGTATTCCATTGTGTATTATATACCACAGCTTTTTTATCCACTCATCTATTGATGGACATATTGATGGGACAAAACACTGGAAATCTTAGAAGTTTTTTTCAACCACTTCCATCTTCACTCACCTGATATTTTAACATGCTGTCCTTAGGGTGGGCGTCTCATGGTATGAGAATCACTGCCCAAAAGGATTAGGCTATGGGAAGGCCAAGGCTCAGCCAGTGTCTCTGCCTTACAGGCTGAATTAGCATTTCCAGGGAGCAGCACAGTAAGGACATGACAGAATCTGAGGTCTTACATGTTACTAGGCTGGAAGAATTTTGCCAGAGTGGGTGTGGCTTTGACATGTTCCCTTTAGCTCAGTTTCAGACCAAGAAGTTTGAAAGTAGAGAGCTTTGAGTTCAAGTCCTAGCTTTGTTACTTAATAGCTGTGTGATCTTGATCAAGTTCCTTAAGCTCACTAGGCCTTAGTTTCCTCATTTATAAAATACAGATACTAATAGTATGTATCTCATAAAATTACTGAGGATATTCAATGAGGTTGTGTCTCTAAAGCAGGGTTTCTCAGTGTTGGTCAGTTGACATTTTGGGCAGAATATTTCTTTGTTGTGGGGCTGTCCTTTATATGATGTTTTAGCAGCATCCCTGGCTTCTGCTCACTATGTTCTGGTTGTGACAACCAAAAAGTCTCCAGACACTGTCAAATGGGCCTTGGAGGGGAAATCATCCTTGGTTGAGAACCACTACTCTGAAGCCTTTGAATAGCATAGTTCAATAGAATTTTTTAAAATCCTCACCCGAGGATATTTTTCCATTTATCTTCAGATAGAGTGAGAGGAGGAGAAGGAGAGAGAGGGAGGGAGGAAAGGAGAGACAGACACAGAGACAGAGAAACATCAATGTGAGAGAGACACATCGACTAGTTGCCTCCCGACCTCGACTATGGCCAAGGACCAAACCACAACCAAGGTACATGCCCTTGACCAGAATTGAACCTGCGACTGGTCCATGGGTCAACACTCTAGACACTGAGCCAAGCTGGCCAGAGCTTCAATATACTTTTTTATGATGACGGAAACATTCCATAATATGGTTCATATCTGTGCCATCTAAGATGGTAGCCATGAGCCACATGTGGCTATTGAGCACTTGAAATGTGGCTAGTACCACTGAGGGAACTGAATTTTAAATTTTATTTAATTTTAATTAAATTTAAACAGCTTCTAACTCCTCCTTATCATCATTATTGCAAAGAACATTTACTGAGGACTTACTATGAGCCAGGCATGGTCCTAAGAGCTTAATGGATTATCTCATTTACTCCTCACAACTTCCTCACAAGGCAGGTTTTACTCCACACTCCTCCATTTTACAGACGAGGAAAGTGAGACTTTCCCAGGGTCACACAGCTAGTAAGTGGTAGGAGAGAATCACTAACTGATTCTAAAGTCCTTGCACTATCTACTAGGCTCACACTGGCTCCTATTGAAGTAAACACTCAATAAGTGGTAGTTCTTATTATGTTGTTTGTTCTCTGATTTACATATATTCACCTCCCACCTGGGGACAAAGGAAGGCAGGTCCCTAGGGGCCCAAATGGAGAAGTTACCTGGGCTTCCTTGTTCCAGGTTCTCATCTATAGCTGCTTCCGCTGTGAGCTGTGCCAGCAGATCCTGTACCTGCTGGGTCTGGGTCTTGGTACCTGATGGCTGATGCACCTGTTTGGAGGGAACCTCAGTGGGGTCAGGATGGGGGAGCCACACCATAAAGTCCAGAGCAGTCTATGGCAGGGCTGAATGCTGAGGAGTTCCTAGAGTTCAGGGAAGGTGGACTAATCCAGGGCCTACATAATCAAGTAGGTCTGACAGTCCCCAACAAGACAGAGGGGCCACTTTTTCCTGCCCCATCCAATCCTGCTTGTCCCTGGTTCCTTGCTTGGCCTGGCAGCAGACCTGAGGATTAGGAGGTGGGAGTCAGGGGCTTGCCAACTCCAACAGAGTACATAAGCATATACATACTAGGACCCCTCTCCCTCTCAAGCCATAGCACTCACCAGCTGGGGGGTCTGAGAAGGCAGAACTCTGCCCTGCAGTGCAGCAAGCCGTGCCTCTATCTCCTGGGTGGAAGGGATGGAACCCTGGGGTTCAGCCCTCAGTGCGGCTAGCCTGGCTTCTATCTCTGCCTGTGAGGGCACTGCCTCTGCAATTAGCATGGGGAAACCTTGTAAGATCCAGAGGAATCCCAGTCCCAGGAGTCCCATATAGTGTCCTTCAGGCCACCCTGCCTGCCCCTACTCACTGGGCTTGTTCTCCTGGCGGAGCCGTGCTAGGCGCTCAGCGATGACTTGGTCTTGTTGGGTCAGTCCCTGGTTCTGGGGGGCACTGGGCTTCTTCTTGGCTTCCAAGGCTGCCACACGCCTGGCAGGATATGAGATAGATGCTCTTGAAGAAGGCAGAAGAGAGGGGTGAAGGCACCCACCCACTCTCTTTTTCCCATTCGAATCATTTCTAGGCATCTAGGGAGGCCTCCAGTGGACACTTGTCTGTGGCCCTCATGCATGTTGTCCTGCAGCTCAACCCAGCTGCCCAGCTGGAGAGTCCAACTGAAAGGGCAATGTCCATCAAGAACTTTTTTTGGGGAGATGGCTAATCAGTTGCTTTCTGATCCCAAGAGGGCAGTCAGGTGCCTGAGAGGTTGATATTCTCTTGACCCTATGTTCATCTGATCTAGAGGCTGGGAAGAAAGTACTGCCCTAGGGCTCCCTTGTCCTTTTCCCCATCCACATTTGTCTCTCTTCCTTCAGTACTTACTTTTTTTTTTTTTTATCCTCACCCGAGGAAATTTTTCCATTTTTGTTTAGATAGAGTGGGGGGGGGGGAGGAGAGAGAGAGAGAGGAACATTGACATGAAAGGGACACATCGAGTGGCTGCCTCCCGCATGACCCCAACCAGGGCTGGGGATAAATTGCAACCCAGGTACGTTCCCTTGACCAGAATCGAATCCGCGACTCATTGGTCTGAGGGCCGATGCTCTAACTGCTGAGCCAAACCGGCCAGGGCAAGTACTTACTTTTTATAGTTCTGAGGTGGTGACCACTTGGAGGCGTTGGCAGGAGCAGGCCCTCTGTAGAAAGGAAATCTGGTTTCAGAAAACCTGCCAACTGTTAGTCAGTGCCCCCTGAGCCCAAACGCTTCCTGGGCTGGCCTCTGGCTACAGAGCACAGGCTGCAAGGGTTAGCCAGCTGCCTGCTGCCATGGTTGGCTGAATCCTCACCCATGTCGGCTTCTCACCTGGTCAGGACCTCGTGGCACTGCTTGCAGACTTTCTGTTGGGTGTTCCCAGCCCGAGGCACTGCTGCACTGAAGTTAAGGCAGCTGGAACAGAAGGCCCGGCCACAATTCTTACAGCCATTCTACAAGAAACATGAAGCAGGGTTATCTACCTCTCAGCTGCACCCTTGCAGACTCCCGCCTGGGACTCTCTGGGCACACACACAGAGAAGACATTGAACTTGTGGCCGGATGCTGAAAACAGGATGAGGAGTGGGGCCCCTAAGGCCTGGGGAGACACAGGGTGGAGTAAAGTGATTCTTCAGTCTCCAGTCTTTTATTCAAATTAAGTAAAGCTTCATGCAAAATTTCCAGGCTTTCTTTCTACCTTGTCTTTAATTCCCTGACACGGGGGTGTAGAAGACAAATAGGCAAAGCCCTTGGTTACTGACTCTTTAACTAAGGAGAATCGGAGAGTGCAGAGCTCATGCCTTCTTTGATCTAGCAGAGATGGAGGGAGGCTTAGCTCAGGATGGGATAACAATAGCCTCCATTTATTAAGTACTTATGGTGTATCAGGCACTAAGCTCAGTATTTAACATTCATCAACTGATATAATCCTCACAATTTCTACACATTATTTTACTTAATCCTGATGCCCACCAGTATCGTTCCTATTTTAGGTGGGGTCAGAGAAGTTACATGACTTGCCCAAACAAAGATCACCCTGTGACTAAGACAACAGAGCTTAACTTTGAATCCTGACCACTCTGTCTTCCAAACCCAGGTTTCTAAGCGCTACATGGATCTGTCTCCCTACTGCTCTTTACCCTATGTGGTTCCTATCTCCTGGTCGCAGCTGCAAAGAAAGCCTGCAGTTTACCAGGGAAAATTGGCAGGTCTGTGCTGAAGACAAGAGAGGCTCCGCAATGGTGCCCTGCGGGCAGGAGAAACGGCTAACCTTACTCAAGGGAAGGGCAGACGGCGTGATGGTGAAGGTTTCAGAGCTGAGAGAGTAATGGGACATGAGGTGAAGCTGAGTGGTCGGTCACAGGGCTGAGGAGAGGCTGGATTGAGGCGGGGGGAAACAGCCGGACCCCACAGTTTTCAGACAGAAAAGTCTAGCTTTCCAAAAAGGACATGAGCACGCTTTACAGTTTATAGAGGACTTTTCTCTCCAGCACTTCACTGGACCCACACACCAACCCCGCAAGAAAGGGAATGCTAGCCCCATTTTACAGAAATGGAAACTAAGGCTCAGTGACTTAATCAAAACCATACTGCTGGAAAGGGGCCGTAAATCCAGTCTACCGGCTACAAGACCAATGTTTTTCCCTCCAGCCTTTGGCCCTCTAGCCCACGGGGAAAGATTCACCTCCTTCTTGAAGAGGGTGAACTTGACAGCGCAGCCGTAGCACCTACTCTCCATCCCGGTTCCCCGCCTAGCGCCGCACGGTCTGCAGAGCTGAGGTCACGCCCACCAGGTCAGGGGTTCCTTGGACCTTCACCCAGCTCCACCTCGGTCCCCCACGCCCACTCGCGCGGGCCAGCTACGGTCTCCCGCAGGAAAATCGCGACGGACCATCTTCCTAGGAGAACAACAGCGGCGAGCGCTGGGGCTGCTGGGAGTCGTAGTTCATTCACGACGGCCCGCTTCCCGCAGAGGCACTTAAGTTTGACCCAGAACACGACATTTCCCAGGGGGCTAAGCGCCATTTAGCCGGCTCCGACCGACAGTCCCGGGAATCCCCGCGCACGCTTAGACTCTCGGGAGTTGTAGTAGGAATCCAGTCAGAGTTGGAATCATGTCGGTGACCAAGGAGCTCTTACAGATGGACCTGTACAAGCTACTAGGTATTGAGGAGAAAGCGGCAGACAAAGAGGTGAGAATGGGGGTGAGAAGGGCCCGAGAAGTCCGGCGGCCTTTTCCGTCTTGGCGCCTAGGCTGGCACCGGCTTTCCAGGTTCGGCCGGGCCATGGGCCGTAGCGAGGGGCGGCCTGACGGCCTCGGAAGGTGGGCTCTCAGACCTTCTGTCGCTTCATGAGGAAGAGGGGATCCCAGAAGGGAGGCTCCTGCTGCGGGGTACTCTGCTCTCCCTCCGGCCCTTGTCTAGGAGAGGCGGCGGGGTGAGCCTGGGAGGGAACTCTCGCCTCCTCCGTGCGCCTGCGCAGGGTCAGCCTGTAATTTCGCTTGTGTCCTGACTGTGGCTGGAGGTATTTCAGTGTCTCCTGAAGGCTGATTTAACTCCACTTAGAGCCTAGGATGAAAGAAAGACCAGGTCTCAAGGCTCCTCCACTCCCACTGCACCCCCTCCTTGACATTGAGGCCCATGGCTGCCGTCTCTGTTTTCTTTTCTACCCCAGCCCACTGACTCTTTTCAAGTAGCAGACGCTCAGGTGTCCTTTCAACATGTGCTAGTGGGCCAAAAGCAGGAGGATCACAAGGGTAAGGCAGATGGCTTGAAGTTCCACAGGAAAGTGTTGATAAAGGTGCCAGGGAGTGGGACACTGTGCTGTAGTTAAGATTTTTGTTATCTAAACTTGGATTGTGAGCGGTCGGCCTGTTGGCTCAACCAGCTGGGGCGTAGCATTAATAAACTTGGATTGTGGTTGGTAGTTGCAGCAATGTAGGAAGGGGAGGCAGATAATTCATCATAAGAAAATTAATGCTTGCCCTGGCTGGGTAGCTCAGTTGGTTAGAGTGTTACCCCAATATGCCAAGGTTGTGGGTTGATCCCTGATCAGAGCACATACAAGAATCAACAAATCAGTGCTTCTCTCTCCCTCCCTCCCCCCGCTCTTTCTAAAAACCAATAAATTTAAAAAATGAATAAAAAGAAGAATATTAATGCTTGTGCATGTCCCTGTACTTCCAGACTGCCCTGCTCATTAACTGAGTGAGTTTATAAGAGGAAGCTCTGGGGCAGAAAAGCAGGGAGACCCATAGGTACTTTGAGGAGAGATGCTGTCAATCTGCACAGAACTGTCCCCTGCAATCAGAAGTGGGCTATGGGGATGTGTAACATCTGCTACACCTGTTTGATAAGTCTTAAAATGTCTGTATTAGTAATGCCTAATACCTATATTACTGTGTACTGGGCACTATTCTAAGTGCTCTGCATTTGTAAATTGTTTAACTTGTACTTTGTTAATAGTGAGAAACTACTTTGGACATTTCACACCAGATCTAGCCAGTGTGTTGGAACTCTGAAGTTGAGAACTTTTGAAGAAGACAATTGAGAACTCTTGATGTATATATTACTCAGAGAAGTGACATAATCAGATTTTAAAATATCAAACATTAGTGTGTAGAATGGACACAAGTCAGGGATAGGGGCTGTTGTCTAGCCAAAAACCAAGGTCTAAGCAGACCAGTGTGGTTGGGATCCAGTTTTCACTCAGATGAGATAAAGAATATATGAGAATGCTCTTTTAAAGGGTAACAGGTGCTGCTCCTGCCTTTTAGTAGGGGAGGCACAACAGTAATACAAGGGAGAACACAGTCAGTTACTTAAGGGGGACACAGACAAAATACTGAGTAGGCTGAGGTTGCTTTTAGTTTGGGAGAAGGGGTGGGGGGAAATAGAGAAGGTATTTGAATCCTTGAAGAACAGGCAGAGTTTGGGTGTGTGGAGATATGGAGGAAAGATATTCCATGAAAGGGGAGAATGTGTGTAGTCCAATTTGTCTGGAGCATAGGCTAAGAAGAAAAGAAGGGTAGCCCTGGCCGGTTTGGCACAGTGGTTAGAGTGTCGGCCTGCAGACCAGAGAGTCCCGGGTTTGGTTCCTAATAAGGGCACGTACCTCAGTTGCAGTTTGTCCCTGGCCTGGTTGGGGTCGTGTGGGTGGCAACCAGTCTATGTGTCTTTCTCACATCGATGTTTCTCTCTCTCTCTCTTCCTCCCTCTCTCCCTCCCGCTGTATCTAAGAAAAGTGCAAAAATGTTCTCAGGTGAGGATAAGAAGAAAAAAAAAATCCAACTCTTGGTTTCATTGATCTTTTACATTATTTTTTAGACTCTGTTTTGTTTATTTCTGCTCTGATCTTTATTATTTTCTTTCTTCTCACTTTGGGCTTTGTTTGCTGTTCTTTTCCAAGTTTTTTTATTTATTTATTTATTAAATTTTTTATTTATTAATCTGTTTTTATTACAGATGTTTCTCATTTTTCCCCCATTGACATCCTCCTCCCCTTCCCCCCTGCCCCATCCCCAGCTTTGTTGTCTATGCTCATTGGTCATGCATACATGCATTTAAGTTCTGTGGTTTATTCCCCCCCCCCCCCGCACCCCGCCTGAGGTTTGTCAGTCTGTACCCCACCTCCATGTCTCTGGGTTAATTTTGTTCAGCAGTTTGTTTAGTTCATTATATTCCACAAATAAGTGAGATCATGTGATATTTGTCTTTCTCTGCTTGGCTTGTTTTGCTTAGCATAATACTCTCCAGGTCCTTCCATGCCATCTCAAAGGATAAGCGATCTTTCTTTCTTACAGCTGCATAGTATTCCACTGTGTACATGTACCACAGTTTTTTAATCCACTCATCTACTGATCGACACTTGGGTTGTTTCCAGATCTTAGCTATTGTATATAGTGCTGCTATGAACATAGGGGTACATATATTCTTTCTGATTGGTGTTTCAGGCTTCTTTTTTTTTTAATCCTCACCCGAGGACATTTTTCGATATTTTGTTTAGCTAGAATGGGAGGGGGAGAGAGAGAGAGAAACATCGATGTAAAAGGGACACATTGACTGGTTGCCACCTGCACAACCCAATCAGGGCCGGGGACAAACTGCAACTGAGATACGTACCCTTAGTGGGAACCGAACCCAGGTCTCTCTGGACCACAGGCCAACACTAACCGCTGAGCCAGACTGGCCAGAGCACCTCCAAAATTTTTGAAGCCACTGCAGTCACCACCACTGGATCTTGTCATAGGACCTCTTTCATCAGGACCTCTTTCATCCTTGTCATATCTCCCACACCCTCTGCCTCCTCCCAGTGACCCACTATATATTCTATTATTTTCTCCATACATACTCACATCACAACAGTCATCTTGTGTGTGGTGGCTGTAATTTTTCCTTTGTGAATAGTAAGACTGCTAGTTTTGATGATAGGAATCATGCTGCTGATCGTAATTAGACTGTTGAGCAAATATTTAATCTCTGTGTGCCTTGGCTTCCCCATCTGCAATATAGGAATGATGGCTGTTCCTCCTTGCCCCCATTGTTGTGAAACTTGTTCCAGGTAAAGCACTTAGCACAGGGCCTGCTACAGCGTATGTGCCTGCTAGCTCTTGCTGTTATCATTGTTTTTCTACCTTCCTTACACTGTGAGTCCTAAAGTCAAATACGTGTCACCTACAACTTGAGTCTGAGTCTATCCCTCACCCCTCTCACTCATTCCAGTCCTGACAGACCAGTGCTGAATCACCCAACACTACATCAGTAATTCTCTACTGAGGCAGCGGTCAGGGTAGAAAGGAGGTGGGGAATCAGATAGAACAAAGCTGAGGATCAGCAGAGTTCATCGTTCAGTTCGAATCTACAAATAAATGGAGTGTGTCACCATGGACAAGTGTGGTTCTTGTAGAGTTGAATAAGACATCACTTCTGCTTTCAGACTGTTCACACAGTATAGTAGACAGGAGGTTCAAAGTATATAAGGAAAATGTTGTAGGAATAAAGAAGACACGATTCATATGATTGGCAGGATCAGGGAAGACATTCCTCAAGGAAGTTTTTGAGCAAGGCCTTGAGGGGAGAAAAGAATATATCGCAGCAGTGTTAAAAGGAATCTTCGTGGTCCTCTACTCTTCATTTTATAGACATGAGGAGTGAAGTCCAGAGAGGTTATGGAACTTGCCAGAGATCACCCAGTGAGTGAGCATCAAGCCAGACTGAAGCCCCAGTTGAATACTCTCTCCACTCCTCTGCAGCTGACATGTGAATTTCTCTTGTCTATAGCAGCCTTGCCTTTCATTTAAAGCCCTTTGAAGGCCCTTGCTGATTTGGCTCAGCGGCCCTTGCTGGTTTGGCTCAGTGGTTACAGCATCGGCCTGCAGTCCAGAGAGACCCCGTTCGGTTCCCACTAAGGGCATGTACTTCTGTTGCAGTTTTTCTCCAGCCCTGGTTGGGTTGTGCGGGTGTAGCCACTCAATGTGTCCCTTTCACGTCAATGTTACTCTCTCTCTCTCTTCCTCTCTCTCTCCCTCCCGCTCTATCTGAATAAAAAAAATGGAAAATGTCTTCGGGTGAGGATAAAAGATAAATAAATAAATAAATAAATAAATAAATAAAGCCCTTTGAAGGCTTCAAACTCACTTTATCTTGGCAGGTATTACTTGATGAAGCCAGGTGCTTGAAATGCATTTTGATCAACTTTTTGAAGATGCATATTTTAAGTGGATTTACCAGGAAAACGACCAGAAAAACTTAATATTGACATTTTTTGGGGTGGTTATATATTATTATTGCTTTAAGTAAAAGGCTATTGCTCTGGCCAATTTGACTCAGCAGTTGAGCATCAGCCTGCGGACCAGAGTCCCGGGTTTGGTTCCCGTTAGGGGCACGTACCACAAAAAACAAAACAAAGAAAAGAAAAGAAAAAGTCCGTTTCACCTGTATGCTATCTAATACCTTTCATAAAACCATTTCTTTTTGTTGTATCCTAGAATATGAGGCACTGACATTGTTTCTTACAGATTTAAGAAGAGTTAAATTTTTTAGGACAGATGGGTTTGAAGGAACAGAATGAACATGAAGATGTAAAGTAAAAGTGCTAGCATGGGGCATTGCTTAGGGTTTATTGAGGATGTGGCAGGAGATGAGTCTGAAAAATGTGGTGTCTCTGGACCTGTAGGCCCTAGGTTCGTTGGACTTGATTCTATGTGCAGCTGGGGGCCATTTCTGGATTTGAGGTGTACCTGACTTGGTTCACTATCTCCAATTGGAGCCTTTCCAGAGTCTCTTACCAGACCAGGCGCTAAGTCCTCGAGTTTGGGCACTGAGCCTGGTTTCATCTGATGACGGTCGTTTGTTCACCAAGGGCCTGACCAGCACTGGGCAGGACTGGGAGCCAGGCCTCCAAGTCTTGGTATCTCTGATGGTTAACTCACTCCTGGGTTTTGTTTTCTGGCTGC